ATCAAGAGGGAAGGGGCCATGCGCATAGAGCGACAGCGGGGGGAGGGGGCATCGGTGGAAGCCTCGGCATTGTCGCATCAGGCCTGGATGTCTTGGGGCGGGTGGCCCCCGGCTGGTGACCTCCGTCGCTCTGGCAGCAGCAACAGCATAGGAGGTGATGCGCCAACAATGAACTGCAGTGGAAGGGGATGGCGCCAATGGGAGTTGGGCCTGGGCACTCCCGGCAGTGGTGGGCTTGGCTGTGGCAGCCTCGCTCTCGCTGCTATTCCTGATCTGGGGCAGCGCTGTCCATGGCAGCAGCGGCAGGAGGGGCCTGGGTGGTGACAACAGTGGGAGCTGCTAAAGGCAGGAAGCCACCGCCGCCACTGCTGCCTGTGCAGCCCGCCCCCACCTCCGCCTCCCATGCCCCCTGTTACAAGGCGCCTTGGCTAATGGGGAGCCTGCTATGAGCTTCAACTCGACTGAACGAAGGCGGCTCTACGAGTAAAGTGGGAGGCGCTTTGCACACTTGGGTGACGGCTCGGAAGGCCTTCCTGCGAGGGGCTCTCTCTCTCTCTTTCCTTCTCTCCTTCTCTCTCTTCTTTCTCTCTTTCCTTCCCTCCCTCCTTCAGGTGCCTTTTCGGTTTTCTTCTGAATGATACACTGGTCAAAACCAGGATGCTTAACACACTTCTGCAAAAAATTCCACTTTGCTTTGCCCCAGACTGCAAGAGCAGATCTATACCCATTCCTTTGACAGTCATGAGTCCCTCTCTCTGTCTCCAGTAAACCATGCAAACAACAGTAACAATAGTAATGTACAAACAGGATAAAACCCTGAAATATATTCTCTTCTAAGAAATAAAATAAACCAAAATCCAAGCCCTTTTAAAATCCTTTGCTTCTAAATTTCAAAATGACCTCACCATGTACAATTTTCCTATAAACAAGCATGCTTTTGAGTAATGAGGAATATGGTAACTGCAATGGGGAGAAAACAAATACACAAATCACACCATCAACACACAGGACAGCAATTCTAGTTAAGACAAATAGTCAAAAATAAAAAGTTGAGGCTTAAGTTTTAACTGGCTGAGGTAAGATTACAGACTCATTTTTAACAACATTAAAGGCATCAGATCTGCGTGTCTCCCCCCCCCCCGGCTAGCAATCCAAAAGAGTCCAGTGGCACCTTAAAGAACAAGTTTTATTCAGGTACAAGGTCTCCCTCCTCTGTGAGGGCAGATCTCCCCCCCCCCAATAGCTAGTAATCCAAAACAGTCCAGTGGCACCTTTAAGACCAAGTTTTATAGCTGAAGTGGGTCCCAGTGTTTTTGGTTTACATAACTGCCTTCTCATTCTCTCCCCCCTCCCCATTGCTTAAGCATCATGTTGAGGACTCTTATGCATCTTTAGTCTTCTGGGTTGTCCGTTGCTTGTGAATGTCACTGCTGGGAGACCACAGGATCTCTGAGTATTTATGAGGGAAATACTTTTCAAAACAGTGTATCTTGCTTGCTGCTTAGTTCATGTAATTAGGCTTTGAAGGACTGTTTTGGAAATGATCTGCTTAAAGGCTCTGATGTGGTAGAAAGATTTTGAGCTACAGTTTGGTGTATTGGTTAGGAGCATGGACTCTAATCTGGGAGAACCAGGTTTGATTCCCCATTCCTCTACTTGCAGTTGGGTCAATCACAAGTTCTTTCAGAGCTGTGCTCTTAAGAGGAGTCCTTGAAAGAGCTCTCTCAGCCCCACCTACCTCACAGGGTGTCTGTTTTTAAATGGTAAGCCGATCTGCATGAACAAAATGGGGGAGGGGATTCAGATCAGAGTCCTTTTAAAATTTCCTTTTGCTGTGTGCAGCCCAGAGAGAACATTGGCCTAATATGTTAACGAGCTGTGCTGTCAGGGTTTGACCTAATATGCTAATGAGTTCCTGGTGTTGGGTGTGGCCTATTATGCTAATTAGTTCCTGCTGGGCTTTTTCTACAAAAAGAGCCCTGAACAACAAATCTGATTCAGTGTGCAGCAGGGGTAAAAAAGGTTGTAGTAAAGGAGTTAAAAATAGTATGCCTTTATTTAAGTTTATTGTGCAGCTGTATTTGCAATACTGTTTATAATTCAGAGTACCTTCCTTATGAGGAAAACTAAAAAATGGAGCTCTTCAGCTTAAAAAGACAAATAAAGGGGAAGGGGTGAGCAAGGCTTACAGCATTATGCAAGGCATGGAAAAAGCAGCGCAATTATGTTTTTCTTCGTAACACCAGAACCCAGGGTCACTCAGTGAAAATGACTGACCAGAGGTTCACAACAAAGTACACAACACAACCAATGTATAGACTCTGCTACCACCATGGGGAAAACAAGTCAACAGTAGACTGTATATCTGAGTTGTATACCAGTGGTAGGCAGAAATCCAGGATGGCCTTTTTCCTAGGTTGCTAGAGTGTATTTATTGTTAAGCCACCCTGTGATGAAACAATAGATTCCACGAACTATTGAATACCGATAAGGATTTGCCAAAGGATAAGTTACCACACATAACATTTGCACCCAGCCTTAAAAAGCAACAATGTGCCCACTGTGGTAACTCACAACTTGGCAAGTGATGAACTACTGTATTTACCCCAAAGAAAGGCAACCCTCAATGTAAGATGACCTCCATGTAATTTTTCCAACCCCCCCACTGTTTTACTTGATATAACTGAAACTTGTATGCAAATGTAAGATGGCCCTCCTGGGAAAAAGCAGTCTTGCATTAGAATAGATACCTTATATCCATCCATTAGGTTGAAGCAAAGTAAGATTGTCCTAAATCATTCAGCATAAGTACATGAAAACACATAGGGTTATTGCAACATTTTACAGGAAAACATCTAAGCATGGAGTGAAGGAAAGTAATTCAATCATGAGATGCACACTGGTTTAAGTAAAAAAATGAAGTGTATTTCAGAGTAGTATTTGAACATCAACATGCAGGTACAACATGAATAAAAATTATTGCACCTCTATTATGTGGCAACTGTTCAAGTTTCTAATAACACATCCCACATTATCCTTTCCGCTAGCCGGGTGCTGGCTTGCACCAGCGAGAATAAAACCCAGGTTGAAAGCTGTGTTCCCAGCTTCCAGAACAACAGAAGAAACAAAAATACAATGTAAACACACACACACACACCCTTGTAAAATCACCCTTGTAAAATCATTTACTAGAAGTACAGCATCATCCTTCACGTCCAGTAAGACAAAACCAGAGAAAGACTTCACCTTCCTTTCACAGAAGAAAAAAGAAGCAAAATTCCAAATCACACCTTAATTCAGTGCTAATGAGGAAGAAAATCTTCAGGTCATATCCTCTTATCCTGCACTCCTTGGTGAGTATTGTTTTTGTAGCACAATGAGCACCAAAAGGTCTTGGAAATCCTTCCCCAGGAGTGGTTTTTAGCAACATGAGAACCTAATATTTACACTAAATATTAATTTGGTGGTTTCAGATGCACCATTTAATAATGTGCAATATTGTTGAGGAATAAATCAATTGGGTATCAAAATTTTAAAGGTTGCATGAAGCAAAAGAAACGGTGAATTACAAACAGTCACCCAAACTAAAAAAAGATAGAAAAGCAAAATGCTTACATGGCTACGTGTATCTCATAACCTACACAATTCTCTGACCATTCTCATTTACTGTTAAAATGAGATTTTTTATGCTAGCTGGATGAGCAGTATGTTTAGAGTGGATTCCATTCAGACTTGAAAAACTTATACTAACTCCTATCCCCGCATGCTAACATCACTTTCACTTTACCCTTTTATACCACCTCCTGAGAGACTCAATGTCTGTCAGTTCTTAAGATCTAATTTCTGCCTTTGGAAACATCATGATTGTCAGATTTCCCCCCCAAAATATATCATTTTAAATTTCCAAACAATGTCTTTTATTATCATGGGGTTTGGAAGAATTTTTTAAAACCCAGTAATTCTATGAAAGAGGCCTCTAATTGTAGAAATACTGAGTTGGGGTGAAGAACAATGGGTTCCAGATGTATTAACAATGACAGAGCCTTCCCGCTAAGTACAATGGGAAGAAGCATATTAAAAAAGGTGTCATTTAAGTGGCACCTGTAATTAGGGTTGCCAAATCCAAATAAAGTTACCTGGAGGAGTTCCGCGCCGTCCCAGGAGTGACGTCATCGCGTTGGCACGTTGGGGGCGGGGCCACTAGGATTCGAGGGAAAACCATAGAGTTTTCCTTCAAATCATAGAATGTCCCGCCCCCAACGTGGCCAGCGTGATGATGTCACCTCTGGGTGACATCATCACGCTGGGGATGTGTGCCGGAAGGGGGTGGAGTTCCCCCCGGGGCCCGATTTGCTGGTGTCAGGTAACAGGCCTCTCGGGCGGGGGTTTACCCGCCCCCCGGGGGGACTTGGCAAGCCTACCTATAATATACACAAGGTGACCCAATATATTTTATTTGGCTAAACTAGAGATACAAACCTTTGACCCCTTTATGTGTACAAATGGTGTACATATGTTTGAAGCAATATTATGTATTCCCAGAGCTCAAATTGATATAATGTAAGTAATAACATTTAACATTTTACCGTATTCAAATTAATGTGTATTTCTAAGTAGCCCTGGTATCGGCCCATATGAGCCACAGCAATTCCTTTCTCTGAAATTTAACAGTGTACTGATACCCCAATTGCCTTTGTCTCAAGGGTAATGCAGCAAAAGCTGGTAAGACACAGATCTGGCTGGACGGAAGGAAGCTTAATGTTTTATTTAACACTCCCATGCTCAAAGTGAGAGTTTCTGTGCTGGTGGTAGAACAAAGGACATTAGCATATCACATAATAAAATAACAGTGGAAAATTGTTTGGTACTGAAGCTTCAAGTTGCTATAGGAGAAAGCCAACTGACCTCAATTTACAGAATTGTTACTTGAAGGCACACCTCATTCCATTTTACTTTCTCTCTCGCAGACATACACCCAGTAAATAGTGGTTACTGTAACACCCCCCCCCCCAAAAAAAAGTTGGTCCAGAACAGCAGCCAAAGAACTGGGTATAGAGTAAACCAGGAAAAAGGAACCTCAGGGAAGAAACTGGGCAATAAACAGACACTTGAAATGTGATTACCATGAATTATGTTCGTAAGAAGATGTTCCTATTGAAAAAGTACATAAGGAGAAATGGTGCAGGAAGAGCCTTTATATCAGAACACATGGCCGTATAATGAAACTACACTGTAATTAACTACAGTGGTTGCCCTGGGGAGCTATTAAAGTCACCATATGATCACCTTCCTATCTATGCAGATCAGCAAACTTCACAAATAATTACTTTCTCAGCTTACACATACAGATGTATTCCATTAGGCCAGGCTGCAAGTTAAATTCCCAAGACTTTGAGGTTTATGGAAGTTGCCAATTTTCCCCATAAGCAGTAATTAGATTCAATAAGTAATGGAGTTACACTACTGCAGTTATTGTTTAGCTGTGCATTTACCCTTGCATTATTATAGTGCTAGCTGGTTTAAAAGGGGGGGGGACACACACTCCAGAGTGTGCCAGCTTTCACTGAACATTCAAAAGCAATCAAAATATTACTTTAAAATGTAAGCATTTTGTAAAAGTAGTAAATGGACTAAACTGTGGAGAGGGATCTGGGTTCATATTTTTAGAGTTCACCTGTGCAGTCTAGGGATTATTTTACTGAATGCCTTGGGAAAGTGTCGCTGAAGATAACGGGACTATTTTACTTATGTGTCCACCTTCTCCTGATGAATCAGTGAAAATTAATTCCCACTGTCAGTCAAATCAGAACATTTGCTGCATATTGATTGTTTTTATAACAATGTAGGCACATTAGGCGGGATTGGGTAGAGGTTGCAAAAGCTCACTTCCTCCAGCAAGACCTCGGACCAGGCTAGGACGCTACTTGTCACTAAAGGGCCAACCTAGACAAGATACTGGGAGAACCATCACTGGATCTTCTGAGTGTTTTCCATTGGTAAGCACCTGTGAGGCCCAACTTGTATGAGGGCTGTAGCAGTGCATGTGTTAAACCTTTGCCTGACTTCAGATGCCTAGTTGGCGTTCCTGTTGGCCCTGCTGGGGAAATATGCAGGTGACATGTAGGCCTACGATGGAGTAAACAGCATCTCCAAGGAGACTGGGGAAATGGCATGGTGGGAAAAGGTTACAATCCACACACACCCTTCTTCTGAATCAGAAGGCCCACCAGCTCTTTGCCAATCAAAAAGGCTTGGGAGGTAACAAAGCACCCCTGGCACCTTGTCTACTTTCACACCAGCAGTTACAGTAACTGAAGCATCCACAATCTCTTTTTAGTTTATTGCCTAGACTGATCAAAGGTGATAAGGCAACAAGCATTAAAATTCTAGAAAGACAGAGCATCAGCCTTCTTTTAGATCTGCATAAAAAATAATACAAAAAGTAATGGAAGAGTGCTTTTGTTTTTCTGGCATTTCAACTGAAAAAAGTTTTTTTAGCTTATTTTTTTAAAGAATACTGTCCTACTGCACAAGCTGGCACATGAAGTTACTGTTTTAAATAGGCAGAAAAATCTACAATATGCAAGAGGAAAAAAAGTGTGATGTAGCATAAGAATTTCAGATGATTCAGCCATCAGAATGTATTTCTTCATCTCTGCCAATATAAAGGAATTATCTAAAATTTTGGAATCAAGGACTAAAATTCAAAATTGGTCATGTGGCATTATTCAAGTGAGCTGCCTTATTTTTCAAATGTTGTTCTCTGGAATTTTGAAGGCAATGCAGAATATTCAAGGAGGAAAAGAATAGGATGCTTCAATATTAGGGCACAATAAAAAAACTGGTGGGAAGTTTGGAAACTATTTTGTAATTTGTTTAAAGACAGCCTGTGAAGAGGCATCAAATGGCAAATGCTGTGTACAAAAATAGAATTGCAAGAATGAAAAAGGCAAGAGTGTGAAAAACATAGCTACAAAAAAATAGATGTACAGGTTTTCTGCTTTATATTTGTGTTCTACTAATGCTGTCTTTGTTGCAGAATGTGGAGATGCTGTTATGTTTTCTTCACAACACTGCTTTCTGACAACAGGATGTCTCTTGCTTGAGACTCATCTCCAGCCACTTTGATTTTGTCAGGCAATGGAGCAGTCTCCTTTTTAGGGCTCAGGCTTCTCTCTGGTCCCAAAGACACTTTCACGTTCTGCTCAGTAATGCCATGTAGCTGATTTTCAGGTAGAGGTGCCTGCCACATATTTTCCAACGTTTCAGGAGCCAAAAAAACTTGCTTTTCTTTCATTCCCACTGCATTCATTGGTTCCCAAGACACTGCTAAGCTTTCTGAGTCTATGGAGGAACCACACATTTTACTGAAACCACATGTGCTGAAAGCTTTGGCTATTTCTGGCCTTGAACTTTCCTCTGTCTCCTGCATTCCTTGCTTCGACACACACTCTTCTCCGTAAAACAGTTCCTCCTGAGGGAAGTCTTCTCTTGTTTTTTGTAATACCCATGAACCAGATATGCTGAAATTTACTGTGTCCAATATACCTTTTTCTCCCATTTCTAAGTGGCCTGGCCAAACTACTTTTCTATTTTCCATTGCGGCATCAAGTGTGGGAATTGGAACACTTGAGGGACATCTCAGACTCCAGTTTTTATTGCTTCCCTGATTTATGTGTTTTGAAACTGCCTCAACAGAAGACAACTCGGGCTGTTCTTCAAAATTAGGAGACTTTTGTGTAGAAGTCTTGCTATTTGTTGCCAGATCTGGAATACTGATGCTATTCTTGGTAGACTGGAGCTTCTGTTTCTGACATACATCTTTGCAGTCCATTTGGCTTACTAGTGGAAGAGAGCTTATGCCAGTTGTGCAAGAAGAACAAAGTGCTAACAAAGAATTAGTATCTTCAGACAATATGTAAGTGGTTTCTGAGGAATCAGATTCCTTCAAGTCATTTTTCCCAGTTGCCGACCCTGAGCAATCACCTTGACCAAGTTGTATGAGTCCCACAGGGAGGCACTTCACTTGCTTTGGACAGTCTGTGATTTTCTGGATAATCTGAGCTTCCTTTGAATCTTTAGTGTTTTCAAGACTGGTACTTTTTCGACAAACAAGTTTGGGGATATTTTCTTGTAGAGACCTTGCTGCTGTTCCAGATATTTCAGCTATTTCACAGTCACCAGATTGTTCTATAGGAGAAATTCCTACACAAAACTCAGATCCTGACTCATCTGTGACGGTCTGCAGTGACCTTGCAACATCTTTCGGTTGTTGCTGATTTGTCCCTTCCTGCAAATTTTCAGTTTTTGGTTCCTCAGGAAGAAAGGCATCATCTTCTATACTATCTTTGATTTTCAAATTGGAAGAATGCTTCCTTTGATCCTCAGTGAAAGGATCAGCAATGTGGTGTTCTTTGCTGAAGGTTGGCCTATCCAGTCTTTTCCCATCTTGACTATCTTCTGACCCTTCATCAGTTTCATCTTCAGAAGAATCTACCTCTGTAATGGCTTCCTGCTTTTGTAAGGATTCCCTTCTCTCCACCCTGTCTTGCCGAATGGTTCCCAGTTTCCTGGAAGAAGGTTTCTGCAGTGTCCCCTTTTCTGCAAGACCAACTTTACCCCCTATAGCTTCATTCACAGATTCCTGCCAACTTTGGAGACCAGGGTCTCTTTGGAGCATCTCCTTCTTGAATTCAGAATGGGAAATATCCAAACTGTGCTTGCGTGAAGAGCACAGCTTTTTTTCTGAGGTCAGAGAACAGGTCAGTTTCTCAGCTGACTGGACTCTCTTCAGCAGAGGGGATCTTGGTGGCTCAGCACTCTTCGGCCTTGAAATCTGTCTGACCAGAGGTGGGGAGGAGTGTAACTTTACAGGGAAACACTGCATGATATTTGAACTGCCAATTGAATGTCCTGGTAAAGGAGAAGGAGATCGCTGAGGTGAAGTGGACTGTGGGGTTGGTGAGGGAGTGTGAGCAAGCGGTGAAAGAGGAATGTTTCCTGCAGATTTACGTCTTGGGGATCGATATTGCCGTTGAAGCTTTGGTGCTAGCCCATGCAAGGAGCTAGGTCGGATATGTCCTGAGCTGGCAGGAGAGTTAGGAACACTAGAGCTGGGTGAACTACTTTGAGAAGAATTTCCACCTACTGCAAACAGTCAAAGGGGGGGGGGGAGAGACACTGAAAGTCAGGTATGTAAAGGCATTAGGAAATGCTGTCATATGTATGTACAATCAATTGGTTCACTAATGGGGTTTAAGTGGTTCACTAAGGGGGCCCATACTTCCAAACTCTACCTTCCAGAACCTACTTGCAAAGCAGTTCTATGCTACAATTATAATACCCCTATACAGATCTATGATGTGGCTTCATTTGCAAGACTATGTGCAGTTTTGGCCACCAGATCTCAAAAATGGCATCACTGAGCTGGAAAAAGTGCAGAAGAGTTCAACCAAGATGATTATGGGGTTGGAGCACCTAGCCTATGAGGAAAGGCTAAACAGTCTGGGATTTTTCAGTTTAGAAAAGAGACAATTAAGGATGTACATGTCAGAGGTTTATAAAATTATACACAAGCTAGGGAGAATGGACAGAGAAAACTCTCCCTCCCTCTCCCAGAATACTAGAGCTCGGGGGGACCCAATGAGTTGATGGGCAGTAGATTCCTCTTTACTAACTGAGTGATTAATGTGTGGAATTCGCTTCCAGAGGATGTAGTAATGGCCACAGGCATAGATAGCTTTAAAAGGGAGACAGATTCATGGAGGATAGGCTACTAGACATGGTGACTAAAGGGAATCTCCATGTTCAGAGGCAGTAATACCAATGCCAGGAGGCAACATCAGGGCCTTGGGCTCTATGCCCTGTTGTCGGCTCTCCAGAGTAACTGGCTAGCCATGGTGAGAGACAGGATGCTGCACTAGATGGAACTCTGGTCTGATCAAGCAGGGCTCTTCTTCTTATGAATCTGCAATATTCAAACTCTTTCATCTCCCTCAGTAAGGTCACAACTCACTGTTGGAACCCTGAACTGTTCTTAAGGTAGTCTTCTGCACTCTCCAGTTGGAGAAGACACTGCATTACTGATGGAATTGGTTAAAGGTCAGTCTCACCCTCCCTATTCCACATTTCCCCTTTTACCTGAATGCACAGACTCAGATCGGTAACTCTGTGTTGGTGAACGAGGGGAGAGATTGTGAGTAGGTGAACCTGGAACACTTTCCCCAGAGGACAGAGAACGGTTGAGTGAAGATAAACTCCTGCTGGTGTGCAGCAGAGAAGCCTGCTTGGTAATCTTCCTGAATAGAGAGCTCTTCTTCTTACTGGGAAGTGAAGGTGAGAACTGTTAGCATATATACAAACACAAATTTTACATAAGTTGCATCTCACTGGCTCAATAAAATTGGAGACACAAGAGCAACATTCAGCAACAGCAGCTTATATCCAGAAATTATTTCAGCACATTTCATTTTTCACAATTAATTATCTCTCACCTATCCTGACCGTCTTTTGTTTTGCTTTTCTTGTTCCTTCGAGCCATCTTGGATTTATAACTGGACCTTCGTGCAGGCCCTACTTTGATTGATGTGTTCTCAAAGGGCGTAGTTGATATGGATACCTTATTGCCACTCTGCCAATTGGAAGAAAAAAGTACTGTTTAATATTGCTGTGATGGATTGGCAAGGGTTAATGCCTAACAGAGTCTGAAAACCTTTGAGTGACAGTTCAAATGGAATTCTGTGGAGAGGGTCAGTTAAGAAATGAGAGTTGGGAACTGACAGTTGAAAAAGAGTTGGTGCCTGAGCCCAGCCTGGGTGAGGACCAGTCTGACTTGTAGCCTGACCAGTCTGATTGGCAACTGGAGCCCAGTGTGAGTAAGGACTCCTCAGAAGTTGAGCCTGAGTCCAGCGTGGTGAAAGATGACTTCAGAGTAGAGGACACTCAGGAATTCCAGTCAGATAATACTGAGTTGGCTGAAGTCAGGGAGCAAGTACCTCCGGAGTTACTCACGACTCCCCCAGATTCCCCCCCCCCCCCTCCCCGAAAGAAGAAGGGCA